TTGTATTTGTTTTGTCTTCTTTTAAGATTAACATAAATAACATGAATAAAGATAAGATATGTTTTATTACTAATTCAGCGCCCAAATGAGCATAAAGAGAACAATCTTAAAGAAAGACCTACAATATAGATGAAAAAAATTATTTAGACATGCGTAAATAAAACAAAAGAATCTATTTGGGAGGTAGTAGCAATGTCTGTACAATTAATTGAAAAAAAAATCATGATAAAGAATAAAAGTACTAGCAAAATAACAGCCTTAGTAAATTTATCTATGCTAATTTTTGATTAATTGTTAATTATTTTTTACTTTCAAAATACTAATATATATTTTCATGCTGTTTAACTTATTAAGTGTACTAGTCTTATGTATCTAAAAATTGTTATTTTCAAAAATATTTGATAATTAAATGTTTACATGTAACCTGTTCATAGTTTAGTGTCCTTGTAAAAAGAAAGATAACTCATGTAAACTAAAATCTCCGGTAAAAGTAATTGCAAATTGATAGTCAGTAGGCATCAGATAGCGAAAGCTTTAGATTCAAGTTAATACAAATTGTTCCTCCTGGATTCTGGAGGCAAGGAGGTCGAAGAGATCAACTACGTGAATAATGTCCATTTGCCCTCTTACGACTCAGAATGAAAAAAATAATAATAAGTAGGTAAGAATTTGTTCGCAGAAAATTCAATTTTTAATGCCGAATTCTTATAATCTATTTTTTTCCGAGACTATACAAAATAAGTAATTGCCTCTTGAAGTTTAAGAAAAAGTTTATTATTTACATTCAATTGCATATTATCAAAGGAGAGCTGACTCTAATTTGATTAAACTATTGCCCCCCCCCCCCCCCCCCCCCCCTCCTCGGAACAGGGTGTGTGAGGTTCAATGGGAGATCAAAGTTTTATAGGTTACCTCATCTTGAAATATTCTAAAATTTAAATTCAACAGTTTGTAAAATTACTCATATCATTTAACTAGGGAAGCATCCGAATTGTAAACCTTAATTCCTTTTTTAAGATCTTGTGTTCCAACAGTTCTGTCCTTGACGTATAGGACTTTGAAATTCTTTTGGATGACTTTACCCAGAATATAACTTTGGAATGGTTGGATTGTCATAATTCACCCATTGGTTCCTATATACATTTAATGACTTTCTTCTAGCTTTTTGTTGTTCCCTGGTTTCGCCAAAGCGAAGGGACATTAAATCTAATTCGCCAGTCCGTCTGTATATCACAAAAAGTTTAACCTTGGTCATAAGTTAGAGAGAGAGGGTATTTATGTTTCGCATGAATATGACTTGTGATTTTATATTTTTTGACCCCTCGACCTTGAAGTTTGACCTAAATGACAAAAAATTACACTACTTTAAATATGTCATAACTTTTGAAAGAGGAAAGACAGGACTTTCATATATACTAGCAATTTACATGCATAGTATCTAAGACAAGACCTTTAATTTCTTTAAAAGAAACCGTATCAGTACTATGACTTTTGATCCTGTGACCTTGACAATGAAGGTTAACCTACTTTTCAAAAAGTTTTTTTTTTCTTACAGCTTCTGTTTGAGAAGAGATATAGCTTTCATATAATTGGAACATGTCAATGTCAATTACCTGTGACAAGATGTTTCCGAGGATGCTATATTTTTTTTAATCTTTAACCTTCATGGTTGAGCTAATTTTCAAATACATTAATTTTGGTGATATCTTTTGAATGACATACGATGGACAGTGAATATTTGACACAATATGCCATAAAAAATGGCATCTCACCCGCTGAGACACCGAAAGTGGGGTAGGCCTACTATAATTCCTTGAATTTTCTTGTTCAATTTTTTTTTACTCTTTGAATTTAACATTGGAATTTGAACAACTTTGAGAAACTTTAAATTTGGTCATACCTTTAAAAAGGCTGTAACAAGATCTTTCAACATTTTTGGTCTCATGATCTTGGAGTTCAGTTTACCATGAGCTGCCACACAAGGGCATTAATATTCCTTTGTATTGTGCATTCAAGTTTGGTTAGCCCGTGTCTCTTTGAGACTAGCTACATGTAGTATTGGGTCATATTTTAGAGTTAAAATGTTTTCCAGGGGATTATAAATACATGTAGTAAAGATCTTTTTAAAATCTTGAGAACTGCAGGGCTAAAGTGACTCAGATGACTATTGTGGTCGACGGGCCTCTTGTTATCTCACTTGAGCCGAAGGCTCAAGTGAGCTTTTCTGGTCATATTTTGTCCGTCGTCCGTCTAGCTGTCTGTCCGTTTGTAAACTTTTCACAATTTCGACTTCTTCTTAAGAACCACTGGGCCAATTTTAACCAAACTTGGAACAAAGCATACTTGGGTGAAGGGAAATTTAAATTGTTAAAATGAAGGGTCGGGTCCTTTCACAAGGAGAGATAATCAAGAAACGGTAAAAATAGGGTGGGGTCATTAAAAAATCTTAATATTCTTCTCAAGAACCACTGGGCTAGAAAAACTGAAACTTATCCTGGGGTAGTGTAGATTCTAAATTCTAGATTGTTCAATATAAGACCCCCAGGGGTTGGATGGGACCACAATAGGGAATCAAAGTTTTACATAGAAATATATAGGAAAAATCTTTAAAAATCTTCTTCTCAAGAAGCACTGGGCCAGAAAAGCTGCAACATATGTAGAAGCATCCTGGGGTAGTGTAGATTCTAAATTGTTCAAATTATGACTCCCGGGAGTTGTGCGGTGCCACAATAGGGATTTCAAGTTTTACATAGAAATATATAGGAAAAGTCTTTAAAAACCTTCAGAAAAGCTAAAACTTGTGTGAAAGCATCCTGGGGTAGAGTAGATTTAAAATTGTCCAAATTATGACCCGTAAGGTACGATGGGGTCACAATATGTATTTCAAAGGGGACATCTCGTTAAGAATAGCATGGTCAAAGCTTCTCAGGTGAGCAATATGGTTCATGGGCCTCTTGTTTTTGTAACAAATTTTTGTTTTTGTATCCCAGTCCAAAGTGAGCAATTATTACATGTACTTAGTTCTGATGCTTTACAGAATATTGAAATCAATTATCCTAAGTATATTTCTGATCAACATTTGAGCAAATCAGCTGTTCTTTTGCACCTTTTGGACCTCTGAGTCAATTAGGTGACCCATGTCTGTCTAGCTGTGTTCATCTATTATTGAGTATTGTACATCATCCATCCAGCAAGATCCAAAAAGTCTAATTTTTTACTATTTTAAGCCTTTATACTTGAGAGCAACATAATTTAAACCAATATTGGTAGAATCTACATGTACAAGTAAAGAGGCACAAATTGTAGTAAAATTCCATCATCTTTGACTTCTTATATAAGAGGTTTAAATTGTCAACAAGCCATCCGAATCAATACAAAATTAAATATTCTTCATATTCCTGAACTTCATGCAGGCAAATTGTTGACATGGTTCTGATAAGCAGAGAAACCTTCTACTGATTATGAAGTTGTTCCAAGGTTGGGTTATACATTCAAGATCTTATAAAATGTTCATCTTTAATATTGGGCAAACTAATTACATCCACTTAATTAAAATGAGAACTGGTCTTCTATCAGAATCAGCAATGAAAAAGGCCCATTGGTTCTGAATAGAAGAAAATGCTAAAAGTTTACTACAACAATAAGGCTGATGGCTGACAATGGAAAATTTTTAAATTTTGATCAGAAACGCTAACTTCAGCTTTAACCTTTGATGAGCCAAAAAGACAAAACAAAACAAACTTTAAGGTGCAAACCATAACTTATTTTCACACAAAAAACATTTATATCACAGTCAAAATAATCATATGGCACATTCATTCAAAACAATTATGGCACTTTAATATCATGTTATAACAGTACATTATAAAAAGAGCACAAGAGTCAAAACAATCATGCCACATTCAAATCTCCTACCAGTTATATAATATAAAATTACATCATAATCAAAACAATCCTAACAGCCTCATAGGAATTATAATGCTATGGAATGGCAAGGATTTATATCATTATAGTGATTGTCATTTTGATATACAATATATTAAAAAAATAAACACAATTAATTTAAGTGTAGATATGAACTTTAAGAGATTAAGTTTCACAAAAAAGTTATATGAAATATACAGCTGCTGTATGAGAATCTGGTTTCACAAAATGAAAACATCTCTTTATGGAAAAATTGTAACAACAAGAAAACAGAAGAGCTGCATGTCATTATTTTAAAAATTAGATATATATACCAGCCAGTGTACATGTATATCTTCAAAATGATGAATGAAATATATATATATATTGTTTAACAACCATGATTTAAAAAGACATAGGAACAGAATATAATAAAACGGACATTAAACAATGCCCCATACTACAGGTTTTGTTTTTTAAAATACAAGTTCTCTCTCAATCTAAAAAAAATGAAGAATTGCATAGATTTCAATTGCACCAGCTATTGCACCAGTTCACAGACACAGCCTCAATCTAATTTACATACTTTTGAACATAAGTAATAAACTGAAAATAATTGACCTCAAATTTTACTTTTCTAACACTGGTATAACATGATGGGTTGGAATAGTTTACGCTTTTTCATAAACTGTTTCACGACTGAGGAAAAAATATGTGTTTGTGGGGATTTGATCTCATGATTGGAAAATGCTTAGTTGATGCATATGAAATATTACATTTCGTGGTGGTTTTGAAATAGGGGTCTCACCATACCTCGAAAACAACCAAAATTAAAGCTCCTCGGAAATAAATTAGTGCTTTCACTGTACTCTAGAGTGGCATAGACAATGAAATTTACAAGATTTTTACCTTTTAGCTAGATATTATTTTCTTTGGTGGACATTGGTTTAGACAGCTGAAGAATGTCAATACTTAAAAGATGCACATTCATGGTTATAGGTCTAAACACAAAAAGGCACAAGCATTTATGAATAAAAAATTTTAAAATTGGTCTACTAATTATAAAAATTCTTAGTTTGATTACCGGTAGTGTTTTGGTTTGGAGTCAGAAAACATATGTTCTGAGAAGCAGTGTTCTCAGCCTTGCATTTTCTGAGTTTAGTGAAGCATTTTCTGAGTTAAGTGCAGCATTTTCCCAGACCAAACTAGTGTTGTCTTCAAGAAGATATTGGTTTCTCTGCAGTAGTAATGGCATCTGGTCCATCTCCTGTGTCATTCTTTGTATCTGGTCCATCTCCTGTGTCATTCTTTGTATCTGGGCAGTTTGATTCTCATTTTCCAGATAAGAAGCAGCCAACATTCCCTCAAGCCGGCCTACAATACAAAGAGCAAATTGAATACTCATTTACATTGTTTTGTACCCACAGCTAATATGCACTGTTAATGAAACAATGTACATTTGCATTTTCTGTACCAATACTAAACCTGTAATACTGAACTACATGTTGGGGTGTGCAAGGTCCTGCTCTGAGAAAAGGCATTTCTCAGGTATAAAAGTTAATGAAAAGATAATTTATTTTCAAAAAATGTTTTGTCAGTATCATATCTTAAGATTTTAAAAACTGTAAAACAAATTATCAATTGATAAGGCATTCAATAAAATAAAAGAATTAAATGTGTTATTGCTGACATTTCATTGTACAGGGTGTCCCATAATATATGATACCATTTCATGATTATATAAAATATAATGTAATGAATTTTGAATAATAACAAATGCACCATAAACATTGCATATACTGTCCAATTTTATTCACATAATTTGATGAACATTGAAGGGAACACGACAAAATGAGTTCACTTGGAAATGCTATCATTTTTCAATTATGTCCCCTACATTACGTCCAATCTGGGTAATGATCATGTCAAGACATTGCACAGAATTCAAAAAACTTAAGACAACAGTGCGGTTTTCTTTGGTTATAATCTGTATTTCCAATGGAAATATACCTTTTTACAAATTAAAGATTTAGATTTAGGTAACAATATCTTAAGACTGGATTTGATAATTAGTTTTAAAATGAGGGTATACCCAGCTTGTTTGTCAATGATTGCCGGTGATCCAGTTTGCTTCACATGCATTTTTAGCATTTTTTTGACGTAATTATGTGGCTACATTATTCCAACTGTGTGACAATTTTTAAATGAAATTATTTGTTGCTAAAAATTGTATTTATTCAAATATTTAATGGGACAAAATTCAAAGATATTGTTCAAGACTTGCGTTTATGACAATAATTTAAAATGGTATCATATATTTTGGGACACCCTGTACATTTGCAAATACATGCACTAGCTAGTTTCAGATCTGGAATAGGAGCTAGTATTTACCTAAATTACCTTTAATTTCTTCATATACCTCCTCAAATTCCTCTGGACATGGTCTATAACCTGCAAGCATATAAAAAGAACAAATTAAATTTATAGATGTTATTGGTCTCTGTTTTTTAAATGGTCTAAAGAAGACCCCTACAGTGATAAGGTTGAAATGTAAAATGTCAAGGTCATAATATTAAACATTCTGTCTCTGTGTAATCTTTCATTTTCAGATAATATCTTTAAGAGCCTCTGTGCTTTTGCAATGAAGTTTTATATCACAACTCATCATGGTCCAAACACGATCGTTCATAATTTTGAAATCAAAAGGTCAGGTCAGAAATTTATACCTTGCAAGTATCAGTTTCGATATGATTACTTTAGATTTTGAACAGACTTTTAATATGATTAATGAACATTAATTTAATATTACAAACTTCATATGGCTCACCCCATGTGGCCTCAAAAGATCAATATTGAGCATGAGGTCAATTAAAAGGTCAAGAAAAGCATACAATAACAAAAATCCAGATAAAAATTTCAATTTTTCTTGAGTTTTCACAAAAAGTGAAAGAAGGAGGGTAAAAGTTAAATGATGCACATTTTTAATCAGCTTGTGTGTTCTTTATAAAATATTTTTGAGAAAAACAAAAAAAAGGCTAAAATACTGGCTATTAGCCCCTTCACGGTAACTGCGGTACTACACTCTTGCAGGGCAAAATAATAACGTTTGGCGAAGTTTTTCTTGACAGATATTTAAATGACGTATTTTTAACATTAACTTTTATGTCATATTTCACGAAATCATATAATTTTGACCTGCAAAAGAGCAGTACCGCAGTTACCGTCAAACGGTCTATTATTATAGAAAGTTTCAGCTTATATGAATAATGACCCAATTAATGACATCACAATGACATCTTACTTCAGAATTAAGTAATGAATTTCAGGGTCAAATATAAGCCTTAGATAAAGGTTGAATTTGATTTACAAAATTTTGAAATAATTTAATTTTACCATGAATTCTTCATGATATGCATTAACTTTTCCCTTTTTTCAGGCAGCAATTCTGCATAATACATTATAATATTTGAACAACAGCCAAAATAGGAAAAATTAGCCACCCTCTTTCAACAGGGTATATATCAAAGCTTTCATTCTCTTTTTAATTTTGCAGTTTGCCAAAGATTACTTCACATTAAGGATCTTATACCTTTTTTCCCAATGCACTCTTCAATGACTTTCATTAAATCTGGCAAAGTATATCTTCCTGCAAGGCTTTGTTGCAGGTCTGCTAAAGAAAAGTCCACTGGCAGTCCACCTGTCCCTAGTCTTCCAAGGTCTCTCATTCTCTTCAGGTGTTCCACAGCCCCTAACACTTTCTTGGGGTCTCGGTGCATTTCAATACCTGCATTACAAATGAATGTTAATAAAATATGACCATTCGTTTTTATTTTGTGTTGAATGGACGACATCCATATTCTTGAAAGAAAGCAAAGATTTAAACATAGAAAAAACCTTTGAGTTGAAAACCCCTATGTTAACAAACCTTGAAACCACGTTAGGCACATTAGAAAAGTTTATATTTCTTACAGAAATAGAGACTGTGAAAGGAGAAAACAGTTTCCATGGATTGTTTTTATATAAATCTTTATCTATGATCCTTAAAATGAGCTTTAAAGGTCCGCTTTTGAAAATTATAGAGCAAAGAATGTCAGCAACACCACAACTTAAGGTAATACATTCGTTATCTCCATATCCTTCTTCTTACAACCCGTGCACGTGTCATTAGGCCAAGAAGACTTCATTAGCAACGGATTTTACAAATATATTTTCCAAATGCAAAAAATCACCGCTTCGGAGTTGAAACCCCATATGTTACTTAACCGAAACCCCACGTGTGCCCCTATACACGGTGATCCCCCAAAAATGAAATTGTCATCAATATGGACCTGAACTTGAGTGTTTATGCTTACAATTATTTGGGAAGCTGTCTAATTAACATGTAAAGATGTCACAAACCTCCTGGAAGATTGTTCAGATATTGTATTGCCTTCCTCAGATCCTGAGCTGGTACTGCACTACCAAAGGGAGTTGATAGAAAAACTTCAGTGATGTAGGGTTTCTCGAGCTCTAAGCTGACCTGATCTCTTTGTTGTTCTTGGCAATGCATCACCTTTATACAAGCAACAAAAATTGAACAGTTATGGAACAATCAATCAAAATTAAAGGTATATATACAATTAAGTATATGCAGATTAATAGTCCTGCAACTATAGACATAATTAAAACAGCAAGACAAATTGCAACATTGCAGAAGTTTTTTTGTTGTTGTTGTCAAAATTACATATTGACACGTGTCTTTACCTTCTACATGTTTAGTAGAGTATAGAGGAAAAAACCTAGTGTACAAAAATATTTTCACCACCTGTCACCATGACCTTCTTTTTTTATTACTAAAATCAGAGAACCCAAAATGCATGCAACTGAAAAAGTTTGATGATCCATTTAAGGGGAATTAGTATTTGAACATTTCTATACATACATGTACATGTAACAATGTAATTTCAAAATTAGGTCAACATGACCTATTTTTGGAAGTACTCCAAGACCTTAGGATGATTTGATAATATTAGGCTTCACAGTGTCCAAAATATGCCTCTAAAACAATTTGAAAAAAAATTAATGCCTGCAAAATTTAACTGAAGAACCCTCTCCACGCTGCACACCAAAGAGTTCTGATTCTATGGTATTTTTCTGCAATTAGATTGAGTTACGGATCTGCAATTTACAGCCTATTACTTATTTTGTAATCAATTCGAGTATTCTTAGCATTTGAAAAGGCCAAGATAATTTAATTATTTGAACATGTTATTTGTATTAATTTTCTCAATGGAAGTAAACAACAGTGACACTGATACAGTACGTGTGTTCTCTGGACAATTTTTCTGAGAGTAAATGCCATTGTTCCATATGGATAAAATAAAATAGATAAGCTTAATATAAACACCTTTATGTAATATATTTTTTTTCTCAATGTCCAAAAAACATTTTGCACTGGTGTAGAGAAGATCCATAAAAGTTAGATCACTGTGGCCTACTTTTTATAAATATGTTTCAAGGCTTCGATCAGAATGCATCATCTTAATTATGGGACATTATGATTCAAAACTTTTCTGTATCTGAAATAATTCGAAATTATTAACCACTAAATTCAGCAAGAGGCCATGGTGGTCTACTCTTTGGTTAATTTATTTCAAAATTGACAAATGTTGTTGATCATAAGCTTTAATGTGTTTGTGATATGCATCAAAATCAAACTAAAATGAGTTACTGCAAAATTCAACAAGAGGCCCAGGGGCCACAGCGCTCACCTGAGCACATCAGCTAGGAAAAACCACATATCAGATCAGAACTGAAAGTTTACTGAGGTTGGGGGGGGGGGGAGTTTTAACCCCCCAGGGGGTCATGATTTGAACAAACTAGAATTTACACTACCTGAGGATGATTCCATATAAATATCACTAATCATGGCTTTGAAGTACTTGAAAAGATTATAAAAGGTTTCACTATATATTCCTATGTACATGTATAACTTTGGTCGGCCATTTTGGCCCCACCCTACCCCCGGGGATCATGGTTTGACCAAATTTGAATCTACACTATCTGAGGATAATTTCACATGAGTTTCATTTTTCCTGTCTCAATGGTTCTTGAGAAGAAGATTTTTAAAGAATTTTTTCTACATATTCCTACATGTGTATGTAAAACTTTAATCGGCCATTTTGGCCCAACCCTACCCCCTGGGGTCATGATTTGAAGAAACTTGAATCTACACTACCTGAGAATGATTCCACATGAGTTTCATTTTTCCTGGCCCAGTGGTTCTTGAGAAGAAGATGTTTTAAAAATGCCATCAATTTTTCTCTTATTCATAATTATCTCCCCTTAGAAAAGGGTGTGACCCTTCATTTGAACAAACTTGAATTCCCTTTACCAAAGGATACTTTGTAGCAAGTTTGGTTGAAATTGGTCCAAAGGTCAGAAGATGAAAATGTGAAAAGTTTACGTCGACAACGACAACAGACAAGGGACAAATTTTGATCAGAAAAGCTCACTTGAGCTTTCGGCTCAGTTGAGCTAAAAAGTAGATCAATGTGACTAACATTTTATTCAATATGACATGAGGTCCTAAATAAACAAGGTTTGATGTTCTTAGTCCATACAGTGGGGCAAAATATCAAAGTTTTATCAATACATAATTGTAGGTAATCTTTGAAGTGACTTTAATTGAGAACATTTTGTCCTATGGATAAACCTTGAACAATTATCAATCTACAAAATTATCTTCATCCATATCCTTATTATTTAGTGATAATCTGCAATGAGGTTCATGAGAAAAAAATCCATTAGCAACCTCTATATTTGCTTTATTCCCCATCTATTTCCAAGCCAGTCAATGGCAGGGTTTTATTTAATTTCAATTTTTCAACAAGATCAAGGACAGATTACGACTGAAAAATGTTTGAAAAGCAAAACAGAAAAAAACCTGAAAGCTTGAAAGAGTGGGGGGAGGGGGTAAAACCATCCAATGACATATATTCTTTATTCTTATTTTCTTGTTTTTGTCTGTTGAAGACAGATTATTTATTTTCAACATCTTTGAGGACAGACTATTGTAATGTAAATCACATTTTATTCCTTGTCCCGATGACTCTCCCTTTGAATTCTCTCCATATTTTTTTTTACACATAATACTACACATACCTTTTATCGTAATAATTTTAAAAAGACATGTTAAACGCTATTTTATCTAGTATGTAATCTTAATTTTCTGTGTGTATATATTTACATATGGAATTTTCTAAATTTGTATCGCTATATTTTAATAAAGATTATATAGATTGCTTTTAAAAAAGAATGTTTAACTGTAAAAATATTATTTTTCAAAATTGTTTAGGCTCAGTCTCGCAAATACACGTAATGCGGATATGGATTTTTTTTACTGATCAATTTATGCACGAACTGTATTATAAATATTTTCAAACTGTAGTCGCTCAGCAAAACTGTTATTTAAACAATAAAATGCTTTCTTTGTTTTTTGTTACTGGAATGAACGGAAGCAGCTGTTGCAGAAAAAATACATAACCCGCGTAAGCGGGTCATGTAAATTTTTTCTGCAATAGCTGAGACCGTTCATTCCAGTAACAACAAACAAAGAAAGCATTTTATTGTTTATATTTATATCTGTTTAAATAATCAATTAAAGTAGGATTAAAAAGATTAATTATTGTATTAATGATGCGAACGTCTTTATACGTTTCATTGATGGAACAGCCACTGATTAAGAAATCTGTACAGGCGACCTGCCTACTGTAGTTTATGCAGTGATGAACGCAATGGGGTTTCTTAAGAAATAAAGGAGAAAATATTCAGTGGATGTAAATATATATATAGAAGTATCGGCACCGTAACACTACAATGCATGAATATACATGTGCATACTTGTAATGCCGGTAAGTTTTGAGCCATTTTCTTGTGACAGCAAAATTACGATAATGTGGTCAGAAACCCCCTATTTCAATATATCGTTTTCATTAGTTCTCATGTTTCAGATTGCAGTCTAGCAGAAGCGTGCATTCAAATACGCCGACTTTTCGTTGATCCACGTTTATCATTAAAATATCCCCGTGTTTATTACGGAAAATGGGGGTACCCTTGAGCTCTGCTGGATATTTTTTGCTCTCACTATTATTAGTTAATATGTAGACACTTAGAGGGGTAATACGGAAATATGTGGGGCCCTTGAAAAAAATCCATATTGGGCGAGGCGTAAGCCGAGCCCAATATGCATTTTTTCAAGGACCCCCACATATTTCCGTATTACCCCTCTAAGTGTCTACATAACGAATTTATCCTGCCGATGGTTCACTAAATGATTAAATATTGATAGTATCAATAAAACGGTTTCACTGAACGTCCAAGCATGACGTTCTACATCCTGTGCGTTGTCGTCAGACGCATTGTGACGTCAGTTATGAAGCTCCATGCAGGTCACGTGAAAGCAGTATATTGATGATGTGTGGTTGGTAAATTTTTAATATATGGTGGGTAGGTCACGTGGAGGGGGCACATTAGCAATGTGAGGTGGGTAGACAGCATAACATTGTTTCTTGCAGTATTGCTCTCGGCCAATGAAATTTCACGATTTTTATCAGAGGCAGGATAATATGTGACACAACTTTATTTACAGATTTTGCATGCCAATTATAATTCTTATTGTAAGAATCTTCAAGTCAATGTTACATGTAATAAAATAGGCTTTTTTCGTTTTTGTTGTTTTAAAATACAAATTATACAATATCACTAGACATGAAAAAACCCATCATGTATCATATACATGAACGTATATATCAAGTAAAATTAAGATTTTTGTTAATTCTAAAGTATTAATTTAAAATAAGTAATCATAGTCAATGATAGTTGGAGGAGAAATATATTTCAAAGGGGTTTACATCAGAAAATCACCCTGCGATGAAAAGCTCTTGTTTGTGTCTAATTAAAGAATATGTTCAAATATAGTAAACTGTATTTTATAATCATTTTATCTCATCTAAAAACATATTCACATTTATATCCACGAAAAAAGAACAAAAATTAACTCGATAAAATAACGTAAAATTACACTAGATCTAATGTGATATTTACATCCGTGGGTCTTTGTGACGTCATAAACACACAACATCAAGAACGATAAGCAGGTGTCACATTTATCAACTGGACAAAGAACTACGAACGATAGTATTGTTCTCCCGCCTACCTCCAAGTCAATTTTCAAAAGTTAATATATTTGAATGATTTTCCATATTTATATTCATATTTACATGAATTTCCATAAAACATTACTTATTTGGGAAAACAAAGAGAGACAATCCTATAATTTTGGTCAAACTCGCGATTTTCACTATAGAAATCAACGGAAAACGGAAAATATTTTCAAAACACCCCCCCCCCCCCCCCGGAAACAAAAATTCCTTTATGCAGGTAATATAGACACAAATTCATACCAAAGCTTTTAGTGTTTGACGGGGGGAACATATGTTTACTGACAAAAAAAATCACCCTGCGATGAAAAGCTCTTGTTTGTGTCTAATTAAAGAATATGTTCAAATA